ACAGAGGAGCCTGGCAGGCTACAGTCCAAGGGGTCGCAGAGAGTTGGACACAACTGAGTGATTTTCATCATCATCATCAATGAAAGCATGAGAAGAAACAAAAGTCACTTGAAATCCTACCACTCAGAAATGATCAGTGTTCACATTTTGATGTACATTTTTTTTGTCATCATTGTTACAAAATTGGAAGTACACTGAAGGTGCTATTTTGTATCCTGCCCTTCCTCATTCTTTTGGTATGAACATTTTCCCAATGTTACTGGTTTATTTATTTATTTTTTGGCAATGTGCTATTTTATGGGGGATTATTTCAATGTGCAAACCAAAGGATAAGATTCTTCAAGAAGCATGAGGCAAAGCATGTAGGTTGCACTACATAAGAACTAATAATTCTTTCAAAATAATTATTTATTTTTTATTGGAGGATAATTGCTTTACAATAGTGTGTTGGTTTCTGCCATATATCAACATGAATAAGACATAGGTATATACATGTCTGCCCCCTCTTGAACCTCCCTCCCACCTCCCACTCCATCCTACCCCTCTAGGTTGTCACAGGACACTCGGTTGAGCTGCTGTGACATACAGCAAATTCCCAGTGGTTATCTGTTTTACACAGGGGAATGTATATGTTTCAATGCTCCCCTCTCAAGGAATTGCTACTTCTTCACTAATTCATTTCAGAACTATTTTGGGGAAACCTACTACCTTGGAGACATAATGATAAGACCTGACTCTATGATATTTACAGGATAGGAGAGGAGACTGACATTAATTACATAATCACAGAAATAACTATAAAATTTCATCTGGGGTAAGTACTGTGAAGGAGAGATGTGAAGTTTATGAAAGTACATATTAGAAACAGGAGAAGTGGTCATGGAGGTGGGAAAGCTTGCCAGAGTAAGGAGTAATTGAGCTCAGCACTGTAGGACTTAAGTAGGTAAAGAAGATCAGGAACAATGTGGCTGGCAGAGGTAATAACACAGGCCAAGTCCCTTCAGTAGGGCTAGGCATGGTGAGTCCTAGAAACTGAAAAAAGATCCCGGAGAAAAGAGTGCAGAGACTTGGCCTGAAATAGCGTTGAAGTAATAGGTAAGGTCCAACTCTGCAGAACCTCAGACTAGGTGATTGTGTGTGTGTGTGTGTGTGTGTGTGTGTGTGTGTGTGTGTGTGTGATTTCTCCTAAGAACCATGGAGAGATATTGAAGTACTTGAACCCAGAGTTGGGAGGTAGAGACCAAATTTATTCTTAAACTGGTCTGCTTCATTGCAGTATCATGATGAGGCTGGGAAGGAACTAAAATGTGTAGGTAAACCACATCCAGGTGGCTAATAGCCCAAGCCCAGTGAGAAGGTGACTGCAGTGGTCCAGGCAGGAGATGTGGGAAGACTGGATTAGAATGTTGAAAGTCAGGATGGAGAGAAGTGAGCAGTTTTGAGAGGTATTTGAGACGTAGAATGTTTAGGACTTAGCATGTGAGGTGAAGAAATGAAAGAAAAAAGACTCCTAAGTCTTTCTTAGGAGTCTTTCCCTCTAAGATAGAGAATGCTGAAAGAGGTCAAGCTTTGGAGAGGATGGTCATGGATGCTGTTTCACAGAGATGATGATTCCAGGATGGGCATAGACCATCACATCAGCTCCTTCCAGAGGTGGCTTTTACCACACTTGTACACCATGCTGAAAAGTCCTTTATTTAAGTGTTTGTGGTCCCAGGGAGAAAGCTAACACTATGCCTGGATTTGCTGTCTCCATACTTATTTCAGGTCCTTGGACTACTGTTTGCTCTGTGTAAAGCATTGGGCAAGTCATTTATTGTAATGGTCTCTGGACCTTCGTATTTTTATCTTTAAAATGAAGCTAATAGCATCTAGTCCAAAGGATTGTTGGGAAGATTAAACAAAAGCATTAATATTCAAGGGCTTTGTGATCCTCCACAAGTTGCACAGAATCATTATTGATATTCTTATGTCTATATTTGTTTTGAATATTACCACCAAACTTAAATTACATTAATACTAGGAATATAAAATTCAGTGTTTTCTCCAAGAGTTCTTTGGGAAGAAAAGGTGTGATTGAAGTCTAAATAAGTAAATATACCACCCAGAAGCTAGAGATGGTGGCCCCAAACTATTTATAAGCCTGTGTGTTTACTTGGATTCCGACTTTCCCGACATGAAAATTATGCAGAGTCTGTGTCACAGCAGAGCACTCCATGTTCCTAAAAAGAACTCTTTTTTCCCCCTGAATCCATCCTTTACCTTTTAAAATAAATCTCATTATGGAGTGCTGACATTTTCAGTAAAACCTTCAACCAAAATCGGAGGATATTTTAGACTAAAAACAAGCCTGGTTTATTAGGCACAGCTTATAACTTGCTGCTAAGTAGATACAATCTATTTAGAGAAATTTATGTAGATAGCTGATAAAACATTTCAGAATCCTCATCTTTTTCTGCCTAAGACAGAGTGTTAAACAGATTATCGAGAATTCTCTCTTCATTTGGTGGAGTAGAGTCTTGCAACATCGTTGGAGTGGATGGAAGCCATAGGACCAAGATTTAAACCAGATCTCTTGACTCTCCAGTGCTAACTCTATCTCCATATTCTAGTTGAATGACTGTAGGTGTGACCTTCTTCCAAGGGAGGTAGGGAGATGCAAAGCTAACACTTGTACGTGCATAATGACCAGAATATAATAAGGCCACAGCCTCATGGTTCTTTCTTTCTATGTCTGTTTCTCAATATTTCTTCCTCCTTCAGTTCCCCTTTTCTCTTCTTCATGTATTCTTCTGCTCCTCTTCCCATTGATTTAAATCCTAACTTTGTCTTGCCTGTCTTTGAACTATATTGAGGAAGGGCATACATTGGGTTACCCAAGGTCACCTAGTCACTTAAGTGTGTAAGTCGCTCAGTTGTGTCCGACTCTTTGTGACCCCATGGACTATAGCCTGCCAGCCTCCTCTGTTCATGAAATTCCCCAGGCAAGAATACTGCAGTGGTTTGCTGTTTCCCTGCCAAAGATAGTAACAGCTCCTTTACAAACCACTGATTGAGAAGTTTGTCCCTGAATCCTCTCCCCAAACTTATAAGATGAGTACTGGTACTGTCTCCATTTCACAGACAAGGAATGCAAACTACAGACAGGCTCAATGTCCAATCTTACAAGGTCTGTCACTAGTAGAGCTGGACGTTTTCAAGCCCACACTCAGCCAACCTAAAGGCCTCCAAAAGACTTACGATTGGCAATCAGTTATCAAAACAGATATTTATTTATTGCAGGCTATTTGACAGGAACAAATTAAATAGCCTTGTACAGTCTATGCCCTCATGGAGTGTGTGTGTGTGTGTGTGTGTGTGTGTGTGTGTGTGCGCACGTGCGTGCATGCACACACACACATGTAGGGATGATTCTCAGACCAGAATCACTGGAATTGCCCTAGCCTCTGTACTTCGATGTCTGTTCTGACTTGTCAAGGCTCACATGGTATCAGTTACTAAACTCTTACGTATCATTCCTTCTTACAAATGATGGTAAGAGCTGAAAACGAAAATGGATCAGAATGCTTTGAAAAATGTAATGGGGATACAAGTTCACACAGGAGTTGAAGAAATCTTTGAATGAGGCATTCAAGCCATGACTTGGACACCGAGTTTTCTCAGCCTGCTGTGAGATGGTGCTGGGCAGATGCCAGACCATTGGATTTGATCCTGAAACTGAAAGGGTGCCATTTAATAAAGTCAACAGGGAAGTAACATCACTCCTTTTGTATTTTAAGAATAGCACTGAGGTTCAGTGTGAGAATGGATGGGAACAGGGTGAACAGTCTTAATCTTTACATTAGATTGATGATTTGTAGTGGGAATTCAGATATGTATCAGTCACAAATCATTCTTTTCAGACTCTTGAAAGTAAAATGAAAGTGTCAGTTGCTCATCTGTGTCTGACTCTTTGTGACCCCATGACCTGTAGCTTGCCAGGCTTCTCTGTGGAATTCTCCAAGCAAAAATACTGGAGTGAGTAGCCATTCTATTCTCCAGGGGACCTTTCCGACGTAGGGATTGAACCTACGTTCAATGCAAGGGTCTCTTTCATTTCAGGCAGATTCTTTAACATCTGAGCCACCAAGGAAGCCCAATCATCCTTTCCAGTTTCTGAGGGAGACAAAATATGCACTGAAAAAGTTATAATACAAGTCGTCATGCAGTGGTATATACAAAGGCTGCAGCAGACAGACAGCAAATACTGTGGATGAGAGGATTTTCAGACCATGCTCACTTTTTTTAAATCAAAAGCCATGGCTTTCACTCTTTCCTGTTCTCTCTGTTGAATAGATTCTTAACTCTCAGAAAATTTCGTTGCATACCCTGAAAGACTCTGAAATCTGAAGCAAATCAACTCAGTAAACACTTACCTAGTGTCTGCTTTGTCTTTGGTTAAGAATCATATTTCACTCATTTCACTGTGTTTCCACACAGGAAAATGAGAAAATGAACTCAGTATAATAGAATAACTTGGGCTGGGGTCAGTGAACCTATATTCAAGTCTCCATTTTATCTTCATTCAGCAATTTGACCTTTGAAGATTAGCATAAACCAACGCTTAGTTGTCCAGATTAAGTTGAAATTACGAGACATTTTTCATGTCCTTTGAGAAAGATGGGCTCCATGAAGGTTTTCTAGAGAACTGGGAAGATGTGGAGGAGCATGAATCAGTTGACTGCCAATGTGATACCATCTTGCTATTGCCCTGATGGAGCCTGTCAATGATAATCATCTCTGAGCTCTGGGGGCATAAAACATTTTCCTGTGATCCTCTCCCTCCCTCCTTCCTTGGTCATGAGGCCAGAACGAGAAAGAGGATGACTTTCTTCAGCTCCTCTTTCTTCCAAGGTGATAAACCTCATCATTTTTTTGTGTTGGTAGAGATGTTTCAGTGAAGACGATTAATTTGGAAAGATTATGCCATCGACTTTTCTTCTCTGTGGTGATTTTTACAGGATAGACCACTGGAACAATGAGAAGGAGAGGATTTTGCTGATCACAGACAAGACTCTCTTAATTTGCAAATATGACTTCATCATGCTTTGCTGTGTGCAGTTGCAATGGATTCCCCTGAGTGCTGTCTATCGCATTTGCCTGGGCAAGTTTTCCTTCCCTGCGATGTCACTGGACAAGTGAGTGTGAGGTCCTAGACTTGGGAAAATGGTGTAGTGGGGCTGGGGCATGCAGGGAAAGCAATCACAAAGTTCAGTTCAGTACTGTAACCTGGGAGAAATCAGGGGAGAACAGGGAAACTGTAGTTGAATTTATCAAACAATCCTGAGTTCCTACTCTATGTCAGATATTCATAGATACAATTTTTAACATTTCACAATTTACGTAGTACTTTAATATGAGTACCTGACAAGTGAATGGTTGAATGTAAAGTGGAAAGAGCTGCGGGAACATGGAAGAAATGTTACTAACCTAATTCATATGACAGAGATCAGAGAAGCTTTCCTGGAGAAGCACTTGAGGCAATGTTTGACTTGGGGTAGGAGTCAGTCACAGAAGAACCAAAGCTTAAGAGTCTGCCAAGCAAAAGGAAGAGAGAAGTCAAAGAAATGAAGGTGGGAAAAAGTGAAATGCCTCTAGGAAATTAAATTATTCTCTAAAGTGTAATGGACAGAACCCATGAGAGCTAATAGCACTGCTTGAAAGAAGCCTCTTTAGAGATTTAGTGGAGGGGACACCAGCTGTCTTGGAGATATTGACAGTTACCAGGAGACCTGATGAGTTTTATGGCAGAGGATTGCTGAACTGAGTAAATTCTTGAGATGGGCTCAGAAGTTTCTTCGACATTTTAAGTCTGAGCCAGAGGATGGCCATCTTCCTCTGAACTGTAAGCTCATTGAGGGCAGGTATCTTTGATTATTGTTGTTGTTGTTCTTTTAGTACCTGGTATTGGGCATAGTATATAGTAAGAACTGAAAAATCTAAAATTTTGAAAAAAAGCATAGGTTGATCAAGTGATTGGTTTTCTTTTCATAAAGCATACCATATCAAAGACCTATTTTTTATTTCTTCTTTTCATGGATGCTAGAAACAATTGATTCAGTTCACTAACTTTTTGAACTGGTGGATTTTTCAATATCATATGCACATTGTAAACATATATTTAACATAACAAAAATTAGTTACTGTCAGCATCTCTCTCCTATCCCAAACCTTAAGTTTTCCAGAATTATCTCCATAGGAGATAATCAACAGTTTCATGTTTTTTTTTCCCTTTGAAAAATAGACTGTAAATATGTAAGGATAAAATTGTCTTTTGTGAATATATGTATGTTTTTATATATTTATAATATTTATTAATGCAAATATTTATCACAAATTATTTTACAATGGGTACACATACCATAAAATGCTTTGCTTCAAGCTATTTTACCCAAAAATATACCTTGGAGACACTATTATATAATCATGGAAAGATTAACTTCAGTCTTTTTAATATTGCAGAATATTCAAATCTAATCTATTTATCAAGCCTCATATTAATGGGCATTTAATCTTTTCTATTAAAAGCAAAGCAATGGGCTTCGCTAGTGGCTCAGTGGTAAAGACCTGCCTGCCAATGCAGGAAACAAGGTTTCGATCCTTGGATTGGGAAGATCTCCTGAAGAAGAAAGTGGCAACCCACTCCAGTACTCTTGCCTGGAAAATCCCATGGACAAAGGAGGCTGGTGGGCCTCAAAGAGTCTGTGTGATCTCAAAGAGTCTGATAACAACAACAGGACTTTGCATGAGTATGCAAATATATTTGTAATATAAATTTCCACAAGTGGAAATATGAGGACAAAAGTCCTGTGAATTTTAATGATAGATGCTGCTGAATTGCCTTCTAAACAGGTGGCAGCTGGTTATGCTCCCATAAGTATTAATCCTTTCTCATGTACCTTCAACAAGATTGTGTTTTATGAAACTCTTTCTTAGCCAGTGAGATGAAGAAAAATATTTTTATTTTAATTTCCATCACTAGAATTTGAAGGAAGTTGAGGGTGTTTTTCTTATGTTAGAAAGTATTTTTGTCTATATTTCTGTGAACTGCCTATTTTTGGCCATACTATGTATTTTTTTTTCTATTGAAACATTGATCTTTTAAAATTGATTTATAAGAGATCTTACTATATGAAGGAACTTGGTCCTGTTTATGCCATATATTATTGCAACATTTTTTCCCATTTTATCATATTTCTTTTAACTTTCTAATGCTGTATTTACTGTCTTTAAGTTTTAGGTAAGTTTCTAAGTTTCTTTCTTTTTGAGAAAGGTTTTCTCCACCAATGAAATTACAAAATATATTTCTAAGTTTTCTTCTAGTGTTTTTATAAATTTTTTTGAAAATACTTATTTGTTTATTTATTTGACTGTGCTGGGTCTTATGGTTGAGGCATGCAGGATCTTCGATCTTCACTGTGGCATGTGAGATCTCTAGTTGTGGCACATAGGATCTATTTCCATTACCAGGGTTCAGACTTGGGCTCCCTGTATTGAGAACATGGAATCTTAGCTACTGGACCACCAAGGAATTTTACTTTTAAAAATACTTAAATTTATGTTTCATCTGGAATTTATCTTAAGTAAGGAAAAAGATAAGCCATCAGCTTTATTTCTTTATCCAGATGGCAGTCTAGATTTCTCAATATCATTTATTCAATTCTCCCCCTTATCAATAAATATTGTATTTTACCATGTGTATTTGTGTTTATTTTGAGTTACCCATTTCACTTATTTCTTCATTAGAGTGCAAAATGCTTTTTAATTATTAAAGCACTTTATTGACATTTTAATATCTATTAGAGTTACTCCCATCTTATTTGTCTTCTTTTTTAAAGAATTTGTTTATTTAGGCATATTTATTTCTCCATGAGCTTACTTAATTTTTAAAAATTCTGTTGTTAATAGTATTTTCAAATATTAAATCAACCATTTAGTCTTAAGATAAACACATTTAGTTATAGTGTGTGATCCTTTCTATATGTTGTTGAATTCAGTTTGCTAATATTTTATTAAGGAGTTTTGTGTCTATGTTCATGAGGATATTAGTCTATTATTTTCATTCTTTTGTAATGTCTTTGCCAAGTATTTCGGTTATGCTGGTCCCATAAAAGAAGTTGGAAAGTGTTCTCTTCTCTTCTATTTTCTATAAGACTTTATGTATAAGTGGTATTATCTCTTCCCTGAATGTTTGTTGAAATTTACAAGGGAAGTTTTCTGGGCCTGAGATTTCTCTGTGGGACAGTTTTAGATACTAAATGACTTTGTTTTATAAATACTGAGTTACTCATATTTTTCCTTCTATGGTAATTTTGGTAAATTGTATTTTTCCAGGAATTTGTTGTTTAAGTGTTTCATTTAAAGGCAAAAAGTTGTTACTATTCCATTCTTATCCCTTTAATGTCTTCTTTTCTGATATCAGTGATCTGCAGTCTCTGTTTTCTTTCTGTGAAAGAATCTGTTGATTTTGTTGCTTTTAATAAAAATATGCTTTTCACTTTGACAAATATGACTGCTTGAGTTCTAATTGATTTTTACTATTTTATTTTTTCCTCTACTTACTTTCAGTTTATTTTTTAACTTTTTAGTTTGAAACCCTGACACATTGATTTTAGGCTTTTCTTCTTTTATAATGTGAGCATTTAAATCTATAAATTTCCTTCTAATAGCTGCTTTTACTACATCTCACAGATTTGGGTATATTGTGCTTATACTATCATTCAGTTAGAAATATTTTCTAATTTTTCTTGTGATTTCTTCTTTGACCCACAGATACTTTAGAAGTCATATTGACAAATTTCCAAATATTTTGAGTTTTTATTGATATTTTAATATTATTGAATTTTAATTTAGAGAACACAGTATCTTTGACTTTAATCCTTTTAAATGCATTGTAGTGTGTTATTGCCAAATTCAGACTTGAATTGAAGAAAGTAGGGAAAATGACTAGACCATTCAGGTATGATCTAAATAAAATTCCTTATGATTATACAGTGGATGCGATAAATAGATTTAACAGACTAGATCTGATAGACAGAGTGCATGATGAACTATAGACAAAGGTTTGTGACATTGTACAGGAGACAATTGTACAGGGATCAAGACCATCCCCAAGAAAAAGAAATGCAAAAAAGCTAAATGGCTGTCTGAGGAGGCATTACAAATAGCTGTGAAAAGAAGAGAAGCGAAAAGCAGAGGAGAAAAGGAAAGATATATCCATTTGAATGCAGAGTCCAAAGAATAGCAAGAGAGATAAGAAAGCCTTCCTCAGTGATCAGTGCAAAGAAATAGAAGAAAACAATAGAATGGGAAAGACTAGAGATCTCATCAAGAAAATTAGAGATACCAAGGGAACATTTCATACAAAGATGGGCTCAATAAAGGACAGAAATGGTATGAACCTAGCAGAAGTAGAAGATATTAAGAAGAGGAAGCAATAATACACAGAAGAACTGTACAATAAAAATCTTCATAACACAGATAATCATAATGGTGTGACCACTCATGTAGAGCCAGACATCCTGGAATGTGAAGTCAGGTGGACCTTAGGAAGCATCAAAGTTAGTGGAGGTGATGGAATTCAAGTTGAGCTATTTAAATCTTAAAAGATGATGCTGTGAAAGTGCTACACTCAATATGCCAGCAAATTTGGAGAACTCAGCAGTGGCCCAGGACGGGAAAAGATCAGTTCTCATTCAAATCCCAAAGAAAGGCAATGCCAAATTACTGCACAATTGCACTGATCTCACACACTCACAAAGTAATGCTCAAAATTCTTCAAGCCAGGCTTCAACTATACGTGAACCATGAACTTCCAGATGTTCAAGGTGGTTTTAGAAAAGGCAGAGGAACCAGAGATCAAGTTGCCAACATCTGCTGGAAAAGGCAAGAGAGTTCCAGAAAAACATCTATCTCTGCTTCATTGACTATGCCAACGCCTTTGACTATGTGGATCACCACAAACTGGAAAATTCTTCAAGAAATGGGAAAACCAGACCACCTGACCTGCCTCTTGAGAAACCTGTATGCAGGTCGGGAAGCAACAGTTAGAACTGGACATGGAACAACAGACTGGTTCCAAATAGGGAAAGGAGTACGTCAAGGCTGTATATTGTCACCCTGGTTATTTAACTTATAT